TCACTTGCGTGACTATTTTATACATGTATATTGCGGCCCATGGGTTGCAAATTGTCCATCCCTGATGTAAACCGTACTATTGCCAACATGGACAAAAAAAATCCTGCAGAGCTTACCTCATTCCTGAACTGTGTGTGTGCAAAGACTAAAATCACTCATCAACATTCTGAGGATGCAGTCTCCCATTCAAATTCCCCAGACATCTTGGCCGAAATCAATAATATCCTGTGCTGATTTGCAAACAAAAAAACATTCATTCCACTCCTTCATGACATTAAATGTTTCCGTAACCTGTGAACAGAAAATGTCCACTTGCTGATCCACAATTAATGTATGCTTGTTGTATATTGATTAAACTATTTTAAATGCACTGCCAAATGCAGTTATCTTCTTCATACAACTATATGCTACACACGTCACAGTGAAGAAAGACAAATGGCTGAATTCTTGTGACAACTGTGTATTTGCCACAAAGCAATCAGGTACACAGCAAAGACAAAAGCTTAAGTTTATCTCAGAGGAAATCAATTGGTATAAAATGCTGCATAATTATTTTGTGCTGTTCCAAAAGTCAGACGTTAGACTGAAGTGTGAACAGTTTAATTTACGTTTAGTTTTTAAAATTTCATTCACGTGCTCCTGAAGAGTGACAATTGTTAACACATTGTGCAATGGATAGTCTGAAATTACTAATGCTTTAAGTTAAAATTGACTTCTGTATCTTTTTAAATAGTGCTCCACATATACAGATTTGGAATTGCTTTGCTATTTTAGAAACTAGTATAACTTTCAAAATGGCTTCTAAAGTTATTACTTTGATAACATACAGTATTAGTGGGCAGACCTCCCTTTGTATATAGCTTGCTTTGGGGGTATTGTGAGAAATAAGGTTTTGAAATATGAACACATTATACAGATAAGAGAGAGAGAATAAAATCTATTTGCCCCATCTTTTGACTAGTTTGAATTTCTCCTCTGGGATAGAATAACATGGCTGTTTTTTTTGCCCTAATTGACATTTATGCTGGTGATTGAACAGGAACGCCATAGAAATGCAGTAAATGGAGTGATGAAAATGACAATTCAGGTAGGCTTCCGTGCATTTAAAAAGCCTTTAGATGCTTGTTTAAAAAAAAACAAATCATATTTTGGAAAGGAAATTAGCCCCACCTTCTGAATACGAGTTAGCTATGTAAATCCTGAGCCCTTATTTAAGATCTCCCCATTCTTATATTGGGGTGAACTTATAGTAATACCAGTGACCACCTTTGGTCTGTGCTGTTTTCTATGGGTTATTAGAAACCTAGTTTCTGTTAAATCATCAACCAGAGTGCCTATTGGCAATTTATCTGAAAAAACTCTCCCCCCCCAACCACCCACCGCTGAGGGACATATTCTTATGTACAATGTACGTTTCTCTACTTCATATAGATCAATTAAATAATTCCAACACACCATAACAGCAACTATGCTGAAACCGTAAACCAATCCTGCACTTCCCCAGGATTCAGCAGTTACAGATCAGCTACCAGGTTAATGAAAGCAATGGCCCCAATTAAACTCAATGTAGCTCCTTCCTGTCAGGTTCACTATCGGAAAGATCTATGAAGAGAGGAGGCAGATCTCAGATAATGTAGAAAACATAACTTTTTTTTCTCAATATCTATGGAGACTATTTTGAACAGAAATAATTCCTGTATACGTACCCCTTTTAAGATAATATACTTTGAATGTTGCCCCTTGCAGGATGCTCTACACCCATCAACTAAAATGAACCCTCCATTTATCAGTAGCAGCAGTTTATTAAAGTATTAAATAACTAAAAATATTTTCTTCAGACAAGTCTGAAAATACAGTAACTAACATGTATTTATGGTACAAGTGACCATAATGTAATTTTAATATGTTCACATTGTATTTTACTGAACTCCGAATGACTGCTTCCCTCTAAAAGCAGAATTAGACTAATCAGGATTTGAATTTATTATCTAAATTTCAGTATCATGCTACAAAAGTCCTACATTTTTGAAAATGCCTTCCTTCAGTTGAGACATTGAATTGAGTGCCATCTGTCCAATTCTGATGGCTCGGGAGAACATTATAATTTCATGGCACAATTCAAAGAGCAGGGCACTCTCCTTGCCAATATTCCTCCCTCATTCAGAAACCCCCCTCAAAAGATTGGTTATTCATCTCAATGCAGTTTGAACGACAATGCTGCCTCAGAATAACTGCCACGTTTGCTATATGTCACTAGACTGCAAAGCGTGTGAAGCACCTCGAGAAACGTTGGCACGATGAAATGCTATATCAAAAACAAACACATTTATGCATCACTGTTAATCTGGATCAGCAGCTCATCTGGTCGCACCCCAGATTCTAGATGAGAAGGTTGTGGGTTCCAGCTCCACATCTCGACTGAAGCTCAGTCAAGTTTGATCTCCAGTAATGAGAGAGCACTGCATTATTGGTGGTGCCATTCTTCAGGTGAGACCCTAATTTATAACCCAACTGCTTCTTCTAGAGAGATTAAAACTTTTTGGGGACACTGTTGTATGCAATTGGCTGCCGCGTTTTGCCCACAAAATACTGTTAATTCATTTTACAGTATATTCTGCAAAGCGCTTTGAGACATCTCAAAGACGTGATAAGGTGCTATATCAAAAGCAAGAATTATTATTTTGAATCCAGCAACATTCCCACTTCTGGGTTTATAAACTAAGAGATGCATAATATAAAGCATATTAAAGGAAAATTGAACATTACAATGGCTTATAAATACAAGATTAGTTTCCAAGTGTGACCATAGAGGATTTTATATGACCACTTACACTTAGAAATTCCACATAAAGCTTATTTTGCACTTGAAATTAGACTGCTCTAGAAGTATATTAGCAACATTAACATTTACTTGAGTATTTGAAAGCAACAGATTGAATTAACATCGAAATTCTACTCCTAACAGTCTTCTAAATTTGATTAAAACTTGAAGAGTGGATCGATTTTAAGATCCTCACTCTTGTATTTAAATCCCTTCATGCCCTGGCACCTCCTATCTCTCCAATCTGCTCTCTCCCTACACTACTACCCTCTGCCTCTGCTCAATTGGCTCCAGTCTCCTCCAGAGAAGCTGTGGCACTCTTTCTCATCTCTTTACCTTGCCCCCTCTGTCCCCATTTTCAGGTCGCGCTTGAAGACCTTCCTCTTCGCCCATGCCTACAGTCACCTTCCCCCTCCCCTGGCTCGGCATCACCCCGCCATTGTTAAGCGCTCCGAGACGCCATCCAGATTGAAGGGCATGATATAAATGCAAGTAGTAGTTGTTGAATGGACCTCTAACCCTGAAAGATCTTCCAGTTTCAATGCAAGTACTAAACAAACTGTTTTCTTGCCTGCCTGCCCTTTGACACCCTGGAATTCATGCATACTAAGGTCACTGCAAAAGGCAAGTTATCTACCCTACTAACAGAACAAGTTATGTTGATGAGGCGCTATAAATAAGATCATCAATTGTAAAATAAAAATATTTAAAGATAAAACCCTCTGGGTGGGTGAGGGTAAATGTGGTGGCAATATTTGTGGCACATGAGTTCTGGACCTTACATTTTACAAACCTGTAACTCGTTTAACTGCAATATAACAAGCATTGCAATTAAAAGATCTACAAGCTTTTTCAGAAATAGCTTGTTGTGTCAAAGTTGCAGCCATCCAACATCCTTTCATTTTAAAACATCTCAATGACAACTGTCAGGTGTCGAATACTGTGCTTCATCCATCTATTTTAAAGAAGGCTTTTCCAAAACACTTTTCATTCCATCTAAAGAAGTGGGTTAAAAGCAGCGTCACACGGGGCAGTGATTGAATAGTCAGTCAGATTAAGAGATCAGAATGCATAACACATTGCGAAATCTTGGGAAAATGTGGCAATCCGATTGTTATTTACTGTATTTTCTGAATCAATCCTGGATTTGCTTCAAACAAAGCTTTTTTTCCAATTTGACACTGCAGCGACATCGTCATTTCGAATTCAGGTCGAATAACTCGTACGGAAAAACTTGACGCTTGATGTGCGACGACTCTCGAACCCAAGCAATAAAACTCAAAAGTAGAGCAACGAATGATCGGTAGCAAAAACCAGCAGCAAAAGAGCCCCCGCCCTGAACAGGTTTAAAACTGCACAGTGCTGTCCGCCCTTATCGCTGATGGGAGACCCAGACCAACGGGGTCAAAAGCCCAGCGCATAAAAATGTGCAAGAAAAATCGCCCGACTAAAAAAAAATAAAATAAAATAAAAATCACTTTCTGCTTGTGGGCGACACGAGATTTAATGATTTCACCACCACGATGATGGCGTGTTTGTTTTTGGGAGAGGGGAGGGAGGGAGGGAGAGGGAGTGAGGGAGAGGGAGTGGGGAGGGGGAGAGGGAGTGGGGAGGGAGGGAGAGGGAGTGGGGGGGGAAGAAGAAATGGTTGACATCTCTTGTTTCGGCTCCTTACATACCGGTAACCTCAAGAGTTTGAACGGGGTGTAATGGAGCAGAAACCCTGTTCATCAATACAGGAGAGATTTCCCCCGGTTATGTTCATGGGCATATTTAAAATAAATCCTGCTAACGAAAGCCAGGCGTCACTAACAATAAAAACACCCCGGGGGTGAGGAGGAGGGGTAAAGAAATCCTAGTCCTGGATCGCCCTCAGTCACACACTACTCCCCTCACCCTGTAACCCTCTCAGGTTAGCGAACCCTCCCTCCCTCCCTTCCTCCCCCGGTTCGCTCTCCGGCGGCAAAACCTTCGCCCCTTTCGCAGCACTCGGGGAAGAAACCCGAGTCCGCCTCTCCCCACTCCCCACTCGGCTCTTTGTTGTGCGAAAAAAAAAGTCGGGTGGGTGGGCGGGTGGGCGAGGCGAGGCCCCCCCACCCCACCCCAGCGGACAAGCACCGGAGCGCGGCCGGGCCGGGCCCCCCCACTCCTCCGCTCCCAGGCCGCGGCACGCACTCACCTCCGTGGGTTGGCTGATTTCAAACAGGTCCAGGCGGTTGGCATTCCAGTGGTTAATGATCTCCGCCAGTTTCCTCCGCTCCTCTTCGCGGCTCGACATCCCGCCTCGGGAGACACACGGCGGCTTCACACAATAAACCTGCGGGTGGGCGCGTACGATACCCCACCAACACCCCCCCCCCTCTTCCCTCCCTCCCTCTCTCTATCTATCTCTCTCTCTCTCTACATATGGAGAGAGAGAGATTAAAAAGAAACACCACCGACTAAATCAAAATAGCGTAGTGTGAACGAGAGGAGGAGGAAGGAAGGAAGGAAAGAGGGAGGGACTTCTCGAGAGAAACGAGTAGCGATAATAAAACCCCAGACAGTGAGGAGTGAACCGCAACAGGAAAACCGCCGGTGCCGCTGGTTCCGGGTGGCGCTCTCTCGCTCTCACTCACTCGCTCGCTCTCTCTCTCGCTCTGTCTGTCTGTCTGTCTGTCTCGAGCCGCCTCCCCCCCACCCCACCTCCCCGTCTCGAGCGCTGGCCGCCCAACGGTCACTTGCTCACGCGCTCCCGCGATGACGTCTCACTCCCTCTCCCCCCCCCCCCCCCCACTCCTCCCCTCTCGGCCCCGATCGACTCAAACCAAACAGACAGACAAGAGGTGTAAAATGTCCGCACGTCAATCAACGGCGCCAGTGGACCACTGGGCGCCTACTCCCCCTCTCCCCCTCACCCTACCAACACCTCCACTCTGGCGCATGCGCGAAACACCTTCTCTCTCCCTCCCCCCCCCCCCAACCCAGGACGGGAGTGCGCAGGTGTGGAGCGAGTGCGAGGTGAGGCCAGAGGGGCGGCTCCTGTCAGCTGACGCGTGAAGGTGCAGAGGAGTGAGGGAGGGAGGGCTGTGGCTCCACTCGTCTCTCTCTCTCTCTCTCTCTCTGTACCCTCCTCCGACACCCCTCACCCCCCCCCCTCCATTCCAGCATTTTTTTGCAGCTCGGATCTTGTGATAGCGGAGGTGTTGCAGGTGCTTCGCTCGTTTTAGCTGTTGTGAAAGTGTCGCTGTATAACTTTGCTGCGTTGTCTCGGGCCTTCCCCCCCCCCTCACCCCCACCCCCCCCCCCACCCCCACCCTCCACCATTCCCTCCCTCCTGATCTCCAAATGCAACGTTAATATTTTATTGCTGTTGCTTCTCCTCCTTTACGAGCAGAAACTCCCAATATGTCTTAATATCGTCTGGTATTTGGAAACCGTCTCGCAAGTTGTAATTGGAAATCTCACCCCCCCCCATTCCCCCCCCCCACCACCCCCACCCCTTCCTCTGCCTGTACATGATGTTGACAGCTCTGAGTCTCACACACACACACACACATACACACACACACAGTGACCAGGGCCGAAGTCTTCGTGTAGTCCTGTAGCTCAGTGGTTAGAGCACTCGCTTTGCAAGTGAGAGACCTGAGTTCAATTCCAGGCAGAGGGCGAAACCTTGGGCAAGTTTCCTTACTCCACACAGAGCCTAATAATAATCCTTTCAAAACCAAAAACAATAATAAATTGGTCATTTTCAATCTACGACTGTTTGTAGGACATTGCTGTGCGCAATTGGCTGCCGCGTTCGCCCACAAATATACAGTCAATTCACTTTGCAGTATGTTCTGTGAAGCGCTTTGGGACGTCCTCCTGACGTGAAAAGCGCTATATCAAATGCAAGGATTATTATTATTATTATTCAGCATTTTCTTTGCTGCCAACAGTACGCACAGACCTGCCCCAAGTGTCACCTATTTTTTAGGGGGGGGGTTTTAAGGGTGACCTTTTTGGGGGGGGGACGTGTGTCGCCGTTGAAAATAAACGCCCATTTATATTTAAACACGTTCACAATCCGTGTCACTCTTTCTTGCTGATCATTCAGTGCTACTTCTTCTAAGGTTTTCCCAGGGGTTGGCAGTCCTGCACGTTTCATTCATCAAGAAATGGGATGGGTGACAGATGTCAGGGCTTTTCGACTGCAATAATGAGAAACGGCTGGAAATTAATAATGGTTTGACATTAAACTCGAATGGAAATTTAATGTATTCTTGAAATAGTTACTGTGGTCTCTAGCTATTAAAATATTAATAAATGAATGTATTTTGGAAAAAAAGGTTTGGGATGCTGTATTGAATAGTCAGTTTGTGTTGCATATATCCATAGCACAAATTAGTTATTTTATATCAATCATATTCAGAGTGTTACTGTTTATGTACTATGTGTACTGTATGTATGATTTACATTGGGTTGACCTGATAACTCTCAAGATGAGTTTTGGTTGTGTGCCACAGGTAAAGTATAGATTACCTTTATTGTTCATTATCCCTCTTCTGCTTATAGCACATATACATGGATGTCTTAACGGAATTAATTTTATTGGTATCTCACTCAACTGATGCACAATTTGCAAAGTAGTCCCAGTTGTGTTGTTTTTCCTATTTGTGACATTCACATGGAATACATAAAAGTAAATGGAGATAAGCTCATTATAGGCACAAAAAGAACTGGTTATAATTGGAAACAAATATAAAAAGATCACATGTCATACCAATTTGACTTTGCCTGTTTTAGTCTTTTCTATGAAGATCAGAAACACTACGGAAAAAATGGACTGTTGTTCAATGGCCAGGTAAGCCAGGTAGAAAAGTCACTGATTTCCTATGGCCTCTTGGATACACCAATGTCCCTGATTCAGCAATAAATACAGTATTTAGTTCTGTGTTTGAAGATATGCATATAGGGGACACAGATCTGTGTGATAATACAATTTAGGAGAAAATTCCACAAGCAAGAATAGTGGTTTGTTGAGATTGCAATATTGCAATAAGATCAAGATTATTGAAACAAATCGTGACTCTGGTGCTCAAACCCCTTCACTAAAATATACAGGAGGCTGTATCACAAATAATGCTAATATACAATACAAATTTACAATTATGTAGTGCTTTTACATCGGGAGGATGCCCCAAGGCATCCTTACAGTCTTGGGTTAGTATTTGTATTGATATAAGTATTCATAATTATATTGATTTTATATTTGTATGCATTTTTTAGAGAATATATCTTTTTTGGAGTCCAGGCCTTTGTATTCCACATAAGATTCCTTGATCAAAGGATAATCTTTTATTTTCTAATACTGCTTTTGAGGTAGCCACTAGGAGGTGTGCAAGAACAGCATGGGTTAACTTGATTTTTCCCTCCCAACAGAAAAGTATGTTTCCTCTTCTGCACCTTCCATGGACAGAGAGGGTGCCAGTAAAATGTTAGTTTTTAATCATTTTTAAATAGTGCATAACATACATTTATAACACAAATGTGTTTTGAGCACAAACGTAATGCACATTTCATACTTCGTAAAGTAGAAGTGAGATATGGAAGTATGTATTTTATATTCCAGACAATATCCTTCACATCATCAGAAAGCTCACAGGAAGTTCCTGGAACCTGCTATCCACCTTGTGAGGGCTTGAACCCATGCTTTTCATATGCCAAATAACAAATCAATCACTATTCTTGGAGGGAGAAGAGGTAACAGGGACTCCTTAAAGCTGAGCAGGTTCCAAGTTGAAGTTCTTGGCAATGACGTGTCGGAATTGAGCGAACCCTTTGGGGTGGTCTCAGTAGTCCAGTTCCTGACCCTGGTGAATCTGCAGTACTGATGGTAGACAAACCAGCCTGGCTCATCGGCAGGATTTTCAGGCACAGACCAGCCACTGGGTGCAGGGATTCTTCCCACTCAGTTCCTGATAAACCTGCAAGCTAAAGCCCTCACAATGATCCTAGCTGGGCAAGCAGCGGAAAGCATGCCAGATAATGCTCTCAACAGCAAGCTATACGGGTTTACCTGTTTAAACTCTAGCAGTACCTCAACACACTCTAGGATTGCCAGCCTTGCCTCTTGCCAACCTGCACCGAATACTCTCCAAAATTAGGTTAACATGGTGATGGGTTTCTACATGCATGAGATGCCCATCCGACCAAAAAAAACATTAAAGGTTTTAAGTCCTCTATTTTTAATATCAGAATATTTGTGTGCTGAAAGGATATGGAAATGTGCTTGTCTATTTTTATACCATCTCGGCTGGTATTTTGTATTCTGACGAGTGTTTTTGTATTGTCCTGTCCTCAGACAGAGTCCATGAACAGCACTGTACAATTTTGTTACACTATCAAAACAGTTTTCCTCCTAAAGAGATATTGCGCTTATGAAAGTTTTCAGCAAAACCTTAGTTTGAAAAGAGAGGAAGTCCTGAGGAGTCATGCACCAGTGTCAGGATCACATCATTTGCAGGTGGCGTGATTTACAATATCACGTGTCTTATAATGAAAAAAGGCTCAACACAAGCTGATTTGAAATTGGAATGAAAATAGTGCTCCTTTAAATGAGTACATGCCTTCCATTACTTTGCTGGGCATTGAAAGACATCTTTGCTTTTTGTGATCATGCATAGAATGTTCAACTGAAATCAACACATTTTTGCTTTGGAGCCAGAAAGCAGCACGACTCATTCATGAGCATGATAGCCCAGCCAGCCTCATCGGCGGGACTTGGAAGGGCCGGCCAGTCACTAAGGACAGGGAGTCATCTCACTCACCTCCTGTTAACTCTGCAAACCAAAGCCTTAACGGGTATGGTGGTCCTAGCTGGACAAGCAGCGGTAAAGCTTGCCAAAAAGTGCTTTTAGCTGGTTAAGACTCCCAGCAGTACACACTCTGGGTCTCCAAGCTTTGGCTCTTGCCAGCCTGCGCCTTATACTTTCCAAAGTTAGGCAAGCAGAATGGATCCTTCCAGGAAGAGTCTACATTCTGTTGCGATAAATATCTTGGGAATTTCCATGTATAGGTGGGATGCATGGAACTCTTGGTTTGGGTTGGACACTCTTAAGCATTGTGATGGATTTTCACAAGTGTCAGACACCTGGCTGACAAAAAAAATTAGATTCATTACATTTTCATTGAGGTTTTAAGGTGCACATGAGTTGAAGGGTGGGGAAGGGGCATCCAGGAAGGCACTTTTGAGATAACTTTGCAAATACTTTATCTAGGAATTTTGTAACGTATTGGTTAGAGCACTTACCTCGCAACCCAGAGGATCCATGTTCCATTCCTGGGCAGAGTGAAACCTGCTCCACACTTTCCTTACTCCACATACCTCTGTTTACCTAGCAGTAA